GGCGGCGGCGGCGGCGCTGCCCGCTCAAAGCGCTTGGTCGGCTAACTGCGTTGTCCGGAGCGCTGGAGCGGTGCCGCTTCTGACACGGAGCGGCGGTTCGGAGGCGTCTTGAGGAGCTGCCTGCGCTCCCCACCGCTCCGCGTCCCGGGGGTGGTTTCGGTAGCTGAGGGCGAAGCGTGGGGGGTGGCAGGTAGCTGTCACCGGGCGCTGAGCGGGAGGCGCTTGGGAAGGCTCTCGGGAGCCGGAGTGCTCACCCTGGGGGGGGACGGACACCTTGGGTGTCGCTGCAGAGACCCACCAGGTTTACATTTCCCTTTTATTCATCTTCCTGATGGCTTTCTGAGTGGGTTAGCCAACCTCGGGTTCCAGAGAAGTTGGCTGTTTACAAAGCTGATCCTTAAACAGCTCTGCTGCTTCCTCCGGGAGTTTTGCAGATAGTAGTAGTACAGGGAAGCGTGTAACCGGCTTACTGTTCACAACTTGATCGAATTCATTATTCTGTATCAATGCAATAAAAAAAGGTATACCCGCATCTTTGTTAGCACAAGTAGCCTCCTGCTAACAGCTATGCCGTTGTTGGGGAAAGAGAGTATGGTAGTAAGGTGCACTCAAAAAAAAAAAAAAAAAAAAGAGCTTGGAAGAAAAGAAAGGTTCTGATGTTCTTCCTTGTCATTGTATTACTTACTGCAAATGTAGTCCTAGAGCATAGTGCAGTTAAGCTGACGGGGTAGGGGAGAGATGCAGAGGTTTTAAATAACAACCTTGCGCATTTAACGTAAATCTCTTTCTGAAGGGAACTGAAAACTCAAGAAAAATGTGTGATGTTTGTAAAAGATGTTGTGCAATACCTACTTAGAATGTAAACTGTGTTCAGGAGTTAGTGATGGATGATTTATGAAGAATCTAAAGGGGAAGTAGAAGTGGGGCAGGGGGGATAAAATCTGATTGACGAAAATATTTTGTTAGTTGGTTTTTGTTAGCTTTGAAGGCAGTTGTGTCCGTCATTCCCCCAACACTGAGAGCGGGCCTGGAAAAAACCTTCTTTATGTGTCTGGGAGGAAGAGAAGTTGCTTAAATGGGGCTCATTTACCACATTTGTGGGAGGGCAAAAAAGGGACTGTAATGCCCACCAAGTTAGGTGGTTGTTTTTTTTTTTTTTTAAACTGAAAGCAAGTTGAAGCAAAACTAGTAGGAATAGATGGACACTGAAAGAAAGTTGCGTAAATGATAAAGGCAGTGGGAGAAAGCACAGGGAGAAGTAACAAATACTTGAAATTAAATGGCCTTCCATTGGGGGGAAAAAAACCCCACAAACCAAACAAGTAATAAACTATTTAGAGTCCCATCCTCTTAAATGTTGTGCTATATTTGAACAGTCCTTAACATAAAGATGCTTGTTTATAAAAAAATACATAAGAGATCTCAAGAAAGATTTAAAACTTTGATTGATTTAATAAAATAGATTTGTCCTACTTAATTACAATGTAATAGTAATCCTAACTTGGATACTTCAGGTTCCTCTTTCCTTTTGGAGTATTATTGTCATCATTAAGAACTCAAACATGAAGGTTCATCAGTACAGATAATCAGTGTATATAAATTGATGATTTAGTTATTTTTATCTCTTTTGAGTAGCGCTCTGTGTAGCAACAAGGAAAATTGAATGCCTTAAATAGAAAATGATGCATTTCAAAATGTCAAGTAAAAAAATCTTCTCTGAATTTGTGTTCCTCTGTTTCTTACTTCTCAAACT